GCCGGGGCGGCGAAGCAGAGCACGGCAGAGCAAAGCGAAGCGAAGCGAAGCAAAGCAGAGCAGAGCAAAGCAAAGCATAGCATCCCTGCGCTGCATTTGCACAGCGCGGGTCGGTGCGGTGCAAAGCAAGGCAAGCAAAGCAAAGCCAGCGCTGCATTTGCGGGTGCAGTGCACAGCACAGCACAGCACAGCACAGCATCACCACACGCTGCATTGCAGGTGCAGTGCACTGCACAGCACAGCACAGCACAGCATCACCACACGCTGCATTGCAGGTGCAGTGCACTGCACAGCACAGCACAGCACAGCATCACCACACGCTGCATTGCAGGTGCAGTGCACTGCACAGCACAGCACAGCACAGCATCACCACACGCTGCATTGCAGGTGCAGTGCACTGCACAGCACAGCACAGCACAGCATCACCACACGCTGCATTGCAGGTGCAGTGCACTGCACAGCACAGCACAGCACAGCATCACCACACGCTGCATTGCAGGTGCAGTGCACTGCACAGCACAGCACAGCACAGCATCACCACACGCTGCATTGCAGGTGCAGTGCACTGCACAGCACAGCACAGCACAGCATCACCACACGCTGCATTGCAGGTGCAGTGCACTGCACAGCACAGCACAGCACAGCATCACCACACGCTGCATTGCAGGTGCAGTGCACTGCACAGCACAGCACAGCACAGCATCACCACACGCTGCATTGCAGGTGCAGTGCACTGCACAGCACAGCACAGCACAGCATCACCACACGCTGCATTGCAGGTGCAGTGCACTGCACAGCACAGCACAGCACAGCATCACCACACGCTGCATTGCAGGTGCAGTGCACTGCACAGCACAGCACAGCACAGCATCACCACACGCTGCATTGCAGGTGCAGTGCACTGCACAGCACAGCACAGCACAGCATCACCACACGCTGCATTGCAGGTGCAGTGCACTGCACAGCACAGCACAGCACAGCATCACCACACGCTGCATTGCAGGTGCAGTGCACTGCACAGCACAGCACAGCACAGCATCACCACACGCTGCATTGCAGGTGCAGTGCACTGCACAGCACAGCACAGCACAGCATCACCACACGCGGCCCTTGCAGCACTGAGACCTGGAGGACTTGGAGGCCGAGACCTGCTGGGAAGGCCAGAAGTGTCTGGAGAGCTGGGAGCAGCTCTCCTGTGCGAGGGAGAGGAGTTGGCTGGGGGGATAAAACTGGCAAAAATCATAACACATGGGAGGCGGGGGTCTTGCTTGGAGGAGAAACAGCTTTATCTAACCACGGCCAAGACAGCCATGTTCTCTTTGAACATGCTTTCCCCCTGTGTGTTGCCGGTTCCAAGACAAGCAAGTGACCTGTTTCGGGGTCAGGTGCTTTCCTGCCTTGGTGAGGGTGAGGAGGCACTGCTTGGAAGAGTTTTCCAAGCGGGAGATGTTTCTATGACTGCTCTCCATCACTGCTAAGGGACAGATGAGTGTGGCCATGATCTAAGGAGAATTCTCATCTCTCTCGAACGACAACTTGCTCCAAATGGACTGAAAGTAACTTTGCTGACACTCTTAATCAGTGATCAAGCATTCAGATGTGGCTGCCTGTATTTCTGTAGTGTTTTTTCATGGGACTGCAAGCTTGTCTTGCCTTCCCAGCAAGCAAGCTGGAAGTCGGGTGGCTGCAGCAGCACAACACTGACAATGGACTAAGCAGCATTGCAGTTCAGTATGATCTGTTATCTCATGGCTTGCACTGCACTAGTCACAATGGGCTTACTCTGCTTGGAGTCACACATCTGCCTGCAGAGCAGATGACAGTGATGATAGCATCTCTCCTGGCTTCTGTGGGGTCCAGAATCTCTGATAAACAAGCCATTAATTTAGACTTGTCTTGGAGAAGTTGCCTTGAGTGGCTTTTCCCTGCATCATTAGCCAATAGCTAATTTATCCTAATTTAGAGCAAAACCAGTCTGCATGGCCAAATGGATAAGAGTAAGGCAATGTGTCTGAATTCCAGATGATCCTTAGTTATCCATAGCTGTATCACTTAGCTGCTAGAAAATCAGGCAGGTGCCTTTCACCTTCCTCAGCCCATGGTCTGTGCTTGTCAGGTGTCTTCCTACAATGTGAAACTGTTAAATCGCCTCAGGCTAAAATGAGCTTAAAACCAAGTGTCTCGTTTCTTTGGGGCTTAATTTGATTATTAGGCTATAGAACACAGAGACCTCTGCTGCTATTCCTGAAGGAGGGTGGTTGTGGGCGCTGTATTGCTGAACACAGCAGTTTCTTATCTGGGTCTAGATAACACTGGGATCAAGAAGTATTTAGCATGGTAGTATTTCATAACCAGTTTTAGCTTCACTTTCAGCAAAATACTCAAGAAAGTGCTTGGTGGGAAACTTGCTTTTCAGCCTTTTCTAGACCCCTTGAGCTCAGACTGGTTTGTGCAAATCGTTCAAGTTCCTCCTGTGTGAGACTTCTCTTCCTGGTATCAGGAGTGGGAAATACTTTTCTTACTTCAGGATTTTCTTATTTGCCTTTCAGGAGTGTAAATTGTTAGATGAATTCTTATGAAGTGATTGTTAAAAGTTCACTATCCACCTTTGGTTTCCTCAAACTAATTATTAGGGATTACAGATTTTCTCATGTTCTGCAGAGCTTTTGTGCGCTTAACTTCAAGCAAGCAAGAAATTCTCAACAGGTCTAGTAAAGCAGTTCAGCACACTTAAGCGTGTGCTTAAAAAAACAACCCAGTGCTTTATTTTGAAAAGCTAAGGCCAACACTTCCTCTCTCTCTCAAGGCCATGAGGAAATTCCTGTGGACTTTTATGGAAGTAGGATGTACCCTCTCAGCCCTGCCAACTCTCACCCTCCCTGGCGGAGGGTTTCCCAGGAAGAGTCATCTGCTGTGTGTAATTAAATAGTCTCTCTTAAAAGTCAAACTGTTCTGTGACCAGACCCACTACCCTAAGGTCACACTACCAAAACAACAGAAGCTTCTCAGCTCTGAAACAACGTGCATAAATTAAATAGCTTTTGTCATGGAACACAGAGTAAAACCACAGGCCTGGCCCACTTCTAGAACTTAAAGAAAGAGCGCTCAAGGGTAAGTGCACATTTACGGTTTGAGAGGTCAGACTGTTTGTGCTTTTAAAATTACTTGTCTCCTTTTGTTTTTCTTTTCTTGTATGCAAATAGAATGCATATGATTTCTGATAAATAAACAAAGAAGAAGTTACTATATCAATGCACTACATTAATATAGTGATTTATACTGCTACTGAACAGGAAATACGATTTGTTGTTTTCTTCTACTTAACTATAGTAACTTTTGCTTATCCTGATGTATTTATTTTTTTTTAAACATGTTGCATTTAGAATTCTGCTAAATGGGTCTGGTACTATTTCCACTGAGTTTCAGCAAAACAAATGAAATTGCAAAAATTGTATGAAAGCAAGCTTCCTCCTCTAAAGAATGCTTAAGTGACACTAGGTATCCTGAAATATGAATTTTATTATTCTTAAATATATATTGCATGGCCTAATACTCATTAGGTAAAAATTTATTTGATTCCTGAGAAAAAATCTGTTCACTTGGTAGCATGTAGATGATTATCAGGCTAGATGCACGAATTGGGCCTGCTGACAGTGTCAGATGCTTGACAAATGTTAAAAATAGATTAAGACAGATGACTGTTACAAATTGTACTGTGACTGCTTATTTTAATTACTCTGTGTTAAGGTGTTTGTTAGATATATGCAGACACAGTCATCTATCCAGCACATTCTAGCCATGGTGTTTTCTTTGTCCTGTGTTGCTGTTTACAATGGGTAGTACATTAAATTTAAAAAGTTGTCAAAAAGCCTTGGATGATGTAAGTTGAAGAGACACAATATATCACAGTGTATTTTGCAAGGACTGTATCTTCTAGGCATCTAATGTTTGAACTGCCAAAACTTCGCTGACGTTTTTCTTGTCCAAACCTTATTAATGCAATAGATATATGATAACTGGCTTAGATAATACAGGATTTGGGTAGTTTGATTTCAGACATTACACACTCCTTGACAAGTGTGCTGCTCTAAGTGTTTGGCTTGGTTGCAATGTCTTGAAGGATTGATAGAAGAATAATATGGTTATAGTTCTTGTATTCCAACATTAGGGATTCCAGAGAGAACTAAGTCAGGTAGAACTGCTGTGAGATAGACAACACAGTCGTTGTAAATCCTTGTCTATGGGTTCTCACTGTTCTTGCACCATAAGGTGTTAGGCTCTATAGTTATCAAACTGCAGTGGAAATACTTACTATAACCTTACTTTGTGAATGGAGTTCATGAAGTTATCATTGAATTTCAGGCTTTGCTGTCTTGGAGGTTTTAACTTTTACAACATAGCCACATTTCAGGATGTAGTCATGATCACAACACTTTTGGAAAATGTTTTTATGGCTGTCTGGCACAGTCACTTTGGGAAGCTGGTATAGGCTAGGAGTGGAGGAAAGTGGATAAGAAATTTCATGTGGAATTTGATTCTGTCAGTGCTAATGGGTGCATGGGAAAAAAAAAATGTTCACAGAAAAGTGCCAATGCTCTTCTAAGCTTTGAAGAAAAACTGTTTATTGAAAACTTTGATCTCTGCTAAAGAAGAAGTTTTAAAAGTAACATGAAAATAAGCATTTAAATATGGCAAAACATGCATGGTAACATCTTGGAAAAGTCACAAGTTTCTAGCCTTAAATGTAAATATTTTGTATGTATTTCCATACAGAGAATGTAATGGAAATCTAAATGGGTTTGTGATGTCTGTGTTCATTACATAACAGGAAAAAATCTGTGTTCTGTCTTGGAAGAAGAAAAATAATAAACTCACAGAATTTTCTACAAAGTAAAAACTCTTAGTGGAAGAGGTCCTGGATGAGGAAGTGAAAAAATGTGTGTATTCCCAAATGCAAAGCAGGTGTCAGGCTGGAAAGGAGTGGGTGGAATTATGGCTACTGATTTCATAAAACATTGTAGCTATACAAACTGTGTTCAAACTCTTTGGAAGTAAGTTAAGGCATATTTGAGAAATGTTTCCTGGGAGAATGGCAAGGGAACATACCTGCATTTAGAAAGGACACTAGGATTTCACAGACGGCTGGATGACAGGGTGTGCATTACACACACAGAGCCACAGTTGGTTGTTCTGGAGAGGATCTGTAAAGTTGTCTGAGTGGTCTGGCCTATCACATGTTTCTGTTGCTGCACCCCAAGAGTCAGGGTCATGTTGCTAGCAGGTATATTTAATTTTCAGCTACATTTGCTAAAGCCAAGTTCTTTGCTATGCAAGCTATGGCAGTAAACGTTACTCTTTTGGTTCTCAGATGCATGCTAGGAAGCACTGTGACTTTCTGCCTGTGGTATGTGGCTTTTCCTGCCCAATCTTACACAGCACAGTCATATTTCTTGATAGAAATGCATATAAAGGTCTGTTTCCCTGAGCACTCTAGAAATCAGTTAAGTCCAAGTGCAAAGCCTTCTTGTGGCCAGCACTTCATCCCAAACTTCCCTGTTTATGTCTAGGAGTTCCTTAGTACTGCCCAGAGTATTTGGTCATGCGGACTGAGAACGTGGCCAGGCAGGACTCCGTGTTGTCCCACGTGCTTGTGTTTTCTGCCTGTGCCAAAAGCAGGGAAAGGGAGGAGCAGTGTGTGTGCAGCACTCATTCCAGTGGGATGCCAGCATGAGGCAGGGGAATGGATACAAAACTAGGCGGTGGGGGGTTCCACCTAGTCCCACCTTTCAGACACTGCTCCATCTAGATTTTTCTTGGGATTGTGCAGTTAGTGGAGATTCCTTACTGTTTTTTTTTTTGTTGTTTCTGTTCTGCTTTTGCTGCTTCCTCTCCCTTTAATCAATACAATATTTATAGCGTGCTGCTTTCCACACCAGCTAGCTTTCTGGTTGGATCTGCATAGCACATGTCCGTTTCTGTTCATTGTAAGAAAAGGTTTGGTGGGTATTTGTGGTTTGGAGATTTTTCATGGTTATCTTAAATGTGACCTGATTATGCCCACCAGCTTTCTTTGTGGTTAAGCCACTTGCCAATAAAACATCTCTATAAAGGGATGTATAAAAATCTATATAGTATGCCTCGGCAAGTGGAGAAGGAGCTACTGATAAATCTAAAGTTTAACAGGGTAGTTGGGGGAGTAATAATTATTTTTCAAAAGGATAAATCTTGCTCCCGAAGTTTGGCCTATGAAGTGAAGGTGATAGTAAGGAACTGCTGGCATTTGAGGGGTTTGTTGTCTCAGACCAAGTGAATCGGAAGAAATAATGAAGCACATAAACAAATACACCACTGGCTTTCGGAACAAGGTCAGTCTGATGGAGAAATGTTAAAAGAGGGGTTGAGCAGACTGTATGCTGCATGCATCCACACTTCCTCACAGCTACACTTGTACAAAGGAGAAGGGTTGTACTTTCAGTAGGTGGGTTTGTGTGTAGAAGTTCAGTGGAAGTTTCTCCTTGATCAGGTGAGCAAAAAGCATCTGCCAGATTTTGCGTGGCCCTGTGAGTGTGGCCAGTGGCAGATAAGTTTCTGAAGACATGGTTTGTGTGATCTAAGGCCATTGCAAACACACGTTATTTATGTAGCTATCCATTTATCTTGTGCTTTCAGGTACCCCAGAACCCGTGACAACTTGGTGTAAAGAGACAAAAATATTAATGATGGAAGAATATTTTTCAGTATGAAAAGGGGGGTTATCAGTGTCATTCCAGGTGTGTGTTAAGCAGAGATAGCCCTTTGTGTGGGCTACAGCAGGTGATCCTTCCCCACCGCCCAGTGCCGGGGTGGGAGCACGGCAGGTCACGTGCAGAGCATGCACAGCCATGCAGGGGGGTTTGTGCACAGATGTGGAGCTCTTCACCTGCCCTGACAATGCGTGGGTTGGCAGTGTGTGCTTGCAGATACTAATTGTACTGCACAAGGGTTGAGCGTAGATCAGGGACCATTGTGCCTGGCAGCAGGTGAGTAACAGAGCAGTCCCTGACCTGGCAGGCTGGCATGGTGACGATAAGGAGAGGGACAATACAGGGGTGCAGCAAGGGAGGCCCTCTGAGAGGGGCCCAAGCAAGTGCCTCTGAAAGATAGGAGTAAATCCCATTGAGTAAAGGTGTGGGCTGAGTGGCACTGCACAGAGACCACAGATTACATGATGAATAGATGGTAAATAAAAGAAAAAAACTTCAGAGAAGGTAGTAAAGGGAATTTGTTCCCCTGACTCTAAAGGACTTTCCTTTTGGACTTGTAAAAATACATCAGCTTTCTGTAGAAATGCCTTATGTGGATGTAAAATTGCTTGCAAAGGAAGATTTCCATTTTGATTATAACTGAATAAAGCACCAAAAACCAGTGATGCAAGAGACAAAAATTAATGGCCACTCTATAAGATAAAACAAATTTTTATATTTTTGTCAAAAATTTTTTTACTGACATTATGATTAAGCCCACAGTTCTTTCTGAAATCATTAGAAGTGGCTTTGGGTCCAAAACCACCTGCAAAATGGCTATTACTAAAAATTAAATTAATTTAAACATTGTTCCCTGCATCTTAAATTATAATTTTTGAAAATGTTTTGTCTCAGTTGGAATAAATGATCAAGCCTTGCACATTTTTAATATTAATTGGGAAAAATGTTGGCATTTTAATGAAAATAAATTTGGACAATCAAAATTTTTAATCTAGAATTGGAATTTTAGACAATTTTTTCACTGTGAATAATTTTTTCAAAACCAGTATGGAATGATGACTAAAGTATGAATTTTAAATAAGGAGTGTTGTTTTTTCCCCTGAACATGTACTTGAATTTGTTTCATTATATTTTTTCCTTAGAGAAAAGTTGAGTGATTGTTTTACCATTTTGATGCTTTTTCCAGCCTTTCTTTTACATAGTATCGTTTGAAACTGACTGGTTCTTGTGAACACTTTCATGGCTTCCTGCCACAAAAGGATGTGATGAAGCATCTACAAATATCTTTGCTGCCTGTTGCTGCCTGCCTTGTCTGACTATTCCAGATTTTAACCAATTCTGTATTTCTCCTCAGTCGTACCTAACCACAGCTCTCAGGTTACTGTTCTCATGCTGCTGCCAGCTGTGTTTGCCCTTATCCTTAGTTCTCAGAGCTCTGAGTTTAGGCAACATTGGATGACATGCATGTTGTTTTCTTTGTGGGAGTGGAGACAGGCCAGAGAGATGGAGAGAGGAAGGTTAAAGGGTTGGCCAGCGTGGCCTGGAGTAGTGAAGGGACACTGAAACTGTAGCTGCTCAGCAGCGGTAATTTGTGACGGAGGAATGATCTGTCTTGGAGGGCAAGACGGCCCAGCTGCAGAAGGGGTTATGCCAGAGCTGGAAATACTCCATGTAAGGGAGTTAAGTTTACCTGTGGTGGTGATAAGGAACAGCCACTGTATTTTCTTGTAGCCATCCTGCAGAGTCAGCTCTGAGGCACCTCCTTGGGCAGTGGAGCTGGCTGAGGCACCCATGCTCACGGGATGGGTGCTGGTGCCAGTGAACATTGGGAATGGGCTCCTGGTGGTCTCTGCAGACTCTTTGAAGAGCACTTGTGATGGTAGGGCTCTGCTCAGTGCCTTGTCCATGGTTTGTTTTTGTCTTCTGCTTTGTTTTGGTTTTTTAAATTTAATTTAAGCACAAATTTGTGTTTAATTCACCTCAAGGGGTATCGTAAAAATTCCACAATAAATGCCACAGTTCTGATCAGTAAGAGACGGAAAATACTTTTACAGATCATTGGAGGACAAAAATAGGCATCTTTCTTACCATTAGCTGCTGAAACCTGGTGTTAATTTCTCATGCTTGGCTCTGCTTCAGTATCCTCCTGTCATTAGCTTGTATCTGATTGAGCAAGTAGCATCATTGGTTTTCCAGAGAAGGAGTTGAAACGAACAGACAGAACACTCTTGTACATGTAAATGTCCTCTCTTCTTTTCAAAAGTTCTTCAAATCCCCGTTAATTAGGAGTTGAGCTTATTTTCAGTTTATTGAAATTATGGTTTTATCTAATATCTTCTATTTTCTCCCCAGATTATAAAAAAAAAGGAAAAAAAATCTCTTTATCTTGGGTAGAAAACCAGCATTTATTGCAGTTTTCATCATGGAACATTATTTTGCTTTAATTTCCATTGTTGGATATGACAGAATGTAATCTAATCTAATTTTCATATCGAGAAATCTGACAGCTCTTTTCCCCTTGATGTCAAAATGCAGCTGAACTAAGATAATGATAACTGTAGAATACAATTGCTTTAGTAAAGAGTATTCATGAGGCAAATCTGCATTAAAAAAATGTTGCCAGGGCTCTTTTCAGCTGGGAAAATTACCATGCTTTTAAAACAACTTAGACCCTCCAAAAAAGAGGCATCTGGTCTTCTGAAAAGCAGAGATGAAAGCAGATTTGAGAGAATGCAACAGGGAACATTAAGCAAATACATATTTAAGGGGATGGGTGAATGCAGGGGGTAATTCCATGGCACTGTAATAAAATGGATGAGGAAAAGATGAATCTCTACTGCTCTGTTGTTTTTCTTTTCCTGTTAAATATTTATATTTCTTAGAGCTGAAATAGAAAGGAAAACATGGTTAGAGATCTGAAAGGCTGAAGATAAAGTGATCCAATGCCTTTTTTCCCTAGGCTTTTGTTTCAGGCCGGGTCTAGATTGTAGTTCAAAGGCTTGCATGAAGCAAGTGTAGAGTGTTGGCCCAGGGCCAGCGACAGCTGTCTGCATTATTTAAAACCACTGCAGTTTGCACTAATTGTCCTCTTTTGTCCTCTTTATCAGGGAAGCACACATTACATTGGATTTTGAACTAGGCTGCTCCTCAGGCTCAACGGTGGCAGCCTGAGGAAGCCTGCATATCAGTTTCTTGCCCTCTAACTCCTGTGTAGAGGGCAGGAAAGGTTTGGGCTAGAAGGGACCCTTAAAAGTCATCTGATCCAACCCCCTGCAGTGAGCAGGGACATCTGCACCTGAATCAGGTTGCTCAAGAGCCCTGTCCAGCCTGACCTGGAACGTTTTCGGGATGGGGTGTCTCCCACCTCTCTGGGCAACCTGCTCTAGTGTTCCACCACCTTCAGTGTAAACAACTTCTTCCTTACATCTAGTCTAAATCTGCCCTATTTTAGTTCAAAACCAACACCCCTTGTCCTATTGCAACAAGCTTTTATTAAAAAGTAACCTGAAACCTGTACACACCAGTGCATGTTTCCCCCTCTTAGTTTCATGCTGCACAGCATCATTAGCTGAGCCAGTGTGACCAGGCTGGCTTGCACTACTGTAAAGCTGTTTTGTGTCTTCTGGCAATTTCCCAGCTACACCTCTGAAGCAACAGTATATCTTTGTGGCACATCAGTCTTGCTCTTCAAACCATCCTTTCCTGTTGGCCTCCACTTCCTTGTATGCTGGATCTTTGCCAGTTTATTCCAAGACTAAATTGTCACAACATGTTGCCTCTTTCCTGCCTTTTCACTACCTCCTCCCACTGCTCCCTCTCACTTCTCCTGTCAAAAACACTGAAATATTTCCTCTCCTTCTTCCTCTCCTCTCTTCATGCACTCCACAGCCCCTCTGCTGACCCAGGTTGCCTGTTGGGTGGTGCCAAAACCAGCAGCCTCAGGGCAAGTCTGCAGCAGCTCCATGCTCCAGGCCAACCAGTGGGGCTGCACATGTGTGCTCAGTAGGCTCATACATGTGTGTAATCAACACACGTGGATGTTGTGTACTGGGAGAGGGTGCTGGTCTGGGTGCCCCATCTGCTGTTGTTCATTTGCACTCCTTTATGTGCATGGAGTCAAACTGTTTGTCACTCAGCCTAACCTGTCCCACCTAGTCGCCTTCTCACTAACAACTTTCTCTTCCTGCTTTTCATCTCCCGGGTCATTTTGTGGAAGAGGTGTCTGTGGCAGGGTTTGCCAGAAGGAAATGAAAATATACCTAGCTGCTTTTTGCTCTTTGCAGGAGAGGCAGATTCCAAGCAAGCCATGCAAGCTCCTTGCTATTTAGCCATAAAACTCTAATCTAGCTCCCATATACTTTCTTGCTAAGTGACTTTGATCGGTGTCTGCAGAGGACTGGGACATGAAGCTGGGTGCTGACAGGTCCAATGACTTCTTGAAAGGGCATCGGGAAGGTTGCTGTGCTGGGTGCTAGTGGCTCGTGATCTTGCAGCCAGGAGAGAAACATGAGCTAAAAAGGTCACAACAGGAGAGGCAGAGAGAAAGGAAAAGGGGAGTGATTAAAGGTGTCTTTAAATTGCTTTATCGGGTTAGCAGGATGGCAAGAAAGTTTTTCTTGCTGTTCTTCATGTCATATCAGCTCTGTGAATAAAAATAGGTCACTATTTTTCAGAGCTTTTAGTCTGGCATCCTACATTAGATCAATTTGCTCAAGACTCAGTTCTGCTACAGTCCATGATGAGTGGATCCCTGGGTGGTGGAAGAGTCCTGCTGTGATGAGCATGGATACGGAGTGGCGAGGAATGACCCAGAGTACTTCTAGTAGCATGCAAAAGTATCTAAACTCCTAGGATGTGGGCATGCTCAGGAAACAAGATTTTTTTTAGAAGAGATACATAATTCAGTATTTCTTTAGATTCAGCTCATGGAAGCCTTTTGGTGTGTTTCACTTTGTATATAAATTCTGCACTGCCACACCATTTTGCTACGGCACAGCCATTTGAAAGTGAGACTCAATATGAACAAGAAGCTGAAGCCTCATGTCATTGTTCTCTCACCACAGACATTACAAACGTCAAGCTGAAGTACAAGAGAATTGCTTTAAACAGAAATAGCCCTATAAAGTGTAACTAGGCTGATTTCTCCAGGTATTTCTACAAACAGATTTTGGAATTTATGTCCCTATGAGGAAAATTAAAGGACTAGCTTATTGTTGTGCCAGTGTGATGACCAAAATAGCAGGTACTTGGTATCTGTAGCAGTGATGCACATGTGAAAATGTATGTTGTCTGCAGATTGCTATTTACATTTAGAAACATCTAAATGTTGTGTGCTAAAGCCTGTTTTGTGCTGCTACATGTGTGCAGCCATGCTTAAGAATTGGTTTTCCTAACAGAAATCACTCTGGACAGGTGCAGTGGGTGACAGTAAGTGCCATTCCAGACAGTTGGGTTATAGTTACTGCTTTAGTGTTTGATTTTGGTTTTTTACTGATGATTTCTTTTGTTTGAAAATGCTTGCAACTATGTGGCAATTGACTGCCTCTTAGAAAATATTACCCATATTACCCGTTTTAGAAATAATTTTAAACTTCAGGTTTCTTTTATTTGCAGGTGCACAGAGCAAGATCTGCAAGTTATTGAACAGTACCTGGCAACAGTTTGGCAGCTAGAATGAACTGCTGTTCAACTTTTGTTGAACTGGAATCAGATACAAACCCCAAAACTTCCCCAGAATTCATTGTTGACTTAAATCATAATATGGGAGACATCTGGGTAAAATGAGCAGAACAAGAAACACTTTGCACAACACAGGAGTTACCCCCGTGAGGGTGACCCCATGTTGATTTCACAAGACTGACTCTTCAAAAATCAGTGGCTTACTGCTTGAGAAGCTGAGAAAGCAGAAGCATTGTTCCCATTTGAGAAATCCCACAGACACTTTCCTAACACAGAAGACAACATGGATGTAAAAAATGTATTTAAACCCCAGGAAAATATTTTCTGCCCAAGGGATTTCTCAGAGAATTGTGATGAGCTCATTCACTTGGACAGGGTGGTCAGTGTCACTGCTGGAGGAGCAGAGAAATGCTGCAGCAGAGAGGTGCATTCCT